AGTAGAGACGGGGTTTCACCATGTTGGCCAGGCTGGTCTCGAACTTCTGACTTCTGACTTCGTGATATGCCTGTATTCAGTTCTTCTATGTTCCAGTTCCCTTCACTTCTATGCTCCAGTTCCCTTCACTTGGAAATCCTTTCCCATAATCTCCCATACATCCTACAAGGCCTACATCTAATCCTCCCAACCAGAATACATCTTTCCCTCCACCTTTCCCAGCCAATAGCTCCTGCCTCTTTTAGTTCCTGTCCCAGGCTTCCTTATGAAGACTGTTAGGCACGTAATAGTTAGCTTTCACTCCAATCCCCATCCCTGATCCGTGTGGGAAGAATAAGTGGAGAGTTTGGAGACCTAGGTTTAGGTCCCAACTCTTCCAATGAATTCAGTGACGGCCTGCGTCACTCAGCCCGCCTGCACTTTAGCTTCCTTCTTGATAAAAATAACAAGAGAAACTGTGTATAAAGCCCTTTACAGTTTACAGAGCGTGTGTATCTAGTTTACTTTCACGACACTGAGCAGTTATTTCTGGCTTGTACATGTGAAGTTAGTTGTCCACATTCATATGTGTGAGAAGAACTCCCAGCTTCCTTTCTTGGCCTATAAAATAAGAACTTCCTCTCCGCCCGCCTCTAGGAACTTGACTGGTGGGGGGTGGAGGAGTGGCAGGGGTGAGAAGTGGGAAGTGGGGGGAGTAATTTTTGTAGCTGATGACTTCAGTGTCTGCCCTGCGGTGGGAAAGGGGCTCTCAAGCACTGTTCGTGTTAGAAAGCCTCACGGTTCTGGGTTGAACTCTCTAGTGTAGCTACATCAGCAGTAAAACTGATATTTGGTGCCTTTTCTATTGCCTGTGTCCCTTCCTCAGTTAGCTCAGAACCCAGAGGCAAATGCCTTTCATTAGATATCTCACAGGATCCCCAACAATGTGACTGGAAGGTGGCGGAGGCAGGATTCAAATTTACCATCACTCTCGTCATCTCTTGCTTCCAAGTTTCTGCACCATGCAGGTTGTTCTGCTAAGATCTGCTAATTTTTCGGGCCCCAGTTTCCTCTGAGAAACAAGACTGGATTGGGTCTTCTACAGCCCCGTCCTGTGTGCACCTATTTGTGTTTCACCTATTGAAATGCTAGCTAGTGTCCGTATCCACACTGGGACGTGAGCTCCGTAAGTACCAAGGCCAGCTCTGTCTGGCTCATCATGGCAACCCCAGTGCATGGCATGTAGTAAATGTTTGACAGATAATTATATGCTGACTCATTATAGATGACACTCAGGTGTCTCAGGAATTCTCCAAGCCAGGGCGCTAGCCTTCAGTTTGCGTATTTCCTGTCCCTGAATCATCCTGGGAAAAGTGGAGACTTACACCAGGAGAACTTAACTTCCAGCTTGGCAGGCTCTGTGATGTTAACTGGGGAGGCTTCACCTTCAATTTGATTCACAGTTCCATCAGCTCTGCAATGAGTTAAAAAAAAGAAAAAATACAAAAAACAAAAAAGAAAAGAGAAAAGAAAAACAACTCATTGAAAGCCAAAAAGCAATGAAAGGCAAGATTTGTGCCACTAAGGACCATGGCAGCCAACACCGTGATTTCTGGTAAGAGAGGCTCTCAAAGGCAGGCTAGACCCTAGCTCCACGGCCTGCTCTTTCCTTTGTGACTGTCTCTGAGGCCAAGCAGGGGAAGAGGACAGCGGGGTGATAAGAAGCCGCAATTGACAAGCTCCAGGACGGGACAGTATGGTAGGCCCTTGCACTTCAACACTGTCTCTGACTATCTGCTATGGCCTGAAAGACCAATTCCTGCTCCCAGGCTCCAAAGAGAGGGAATAAAAGAGAATGGAAAAACAAACAAAACAACGCAATACACAAAGAAGATTCACTTTTTTTTTTTTTTTTTTTTTTGTGGAGACGGAGTCTTGCTCTGTTCCCCAGGCTGGAGTGCAGTGGTGTGGTCTCAGTTCACTGCAACCTCTGCCTCCTGGGTTCAAGCACTTCTCCTCCCTCAGCCTCGCCGGGAAATGGGATTACAGGTGTGCACCACCAGGCCTGGTGAGGGTGGAAAGGCATCAGGGTGGTCTTCCTAGGGAGCCAACAGAGGAGATGATGTCTGTTCATCAATCCTCAAGGCAGAGCAGGGAGGCCAACTGAAATTAGAGCAGTCATATGTGTTAGAAACTCAGTAGGTTGGCCAGGTGTGGTGGCTCATGCCTGTAATCCCAGCACTTTGGGAGGCCAAGGGGGACAGATCACGAGGTCAGGAGATGGAGATCAGCCTGGTCAACATGGTGAAACCCCGTCTCTACTAAACTACAAGAAATTAGCCAGGTGCGGTGGTGGCGGGCACCTGTAGTCCCAGCTACTCGGGAGGCTGAGGCAGGAGAATTGCTTGAACCTGGGAGGCGAAGGTTGCAGTGAGCCGAGATCGTACCACTGCACTCCAGCCTGGGCAACAGAGTGAGACTTCGTCTCAA